CAGACAACGAACATGTGGCGCTCCCCCTGACACAGTCAGGCTGAATGCAGGTAGAAGCTTGCCAGATTTCTTAATCAGGGAGCCACGGGTCTCCACCTCCCTAGCTCACCAGCAAACCATTCTTAAAAGTCACCATTTGTAGGTCACCTTGAATAAACTCCTGAGAAATTTAGTGTGTGTGTGTGTGGGGGGGAATGTAATCAGTTTATAACCCTTTCCCACTTAGGGGACAGATACCCAAGAGCATCTAGTGGGTTGAGATTGCCAGCAATTGACAGCAGTCCCTGGTACAAGCTAACCCTTCAATAAACAATGAATAATTATTATGACAGCAACACTGAATTCCAACAACTGATGACATCTATACAAGGTGAGCACTGATAAAGAAGGAAGAGCTGTTTGTGGCTAGTGATAGGTAGAAGGTTGTACATGAAGGGAAACTGGAGTTGATTTCTAGAGATAAAAGAGAAAGGAGAGAAAAAACTGTGTAAAGAAGCAGAGGTGAGCAGAGGGAGCTGGGATGGAGACAACTCAACTCTGTTCTTCCTCTATAGTGTCTCCTCTGTCAGTTTTGTAAGAATATTTTCAAAATTTAATTTCTCTATTAATATTTCAGGTGCTGGGCCTCACACAGGCTATTCAAGCAGCCTCCTTCTGAGCTAACATTACCCCAATTTTTAAATTAAGAGTTTAAATGTATTTATTTTTATTTTATGTGTATGGCATATGAGTGTTTTGCCTGCATGCACGGAATTGTACTGTGCATGTGTCCGGTGCCCCTGGAGGCCCGAAGAGGGCATCAGACCTTCTGGGACTGGAGTTATGGACGGTTGCAAGCTACCATGTAGGTGCTGGGAACCAAATTTGGGTTCTTTGCAAGAGCAGCCACTGCTCTTAACCATCTCTCCAGCCCCCTTCATCAAAACTTTAAAATGACTAATCATGACTACATATATTTATGGGGCATACACACACACACACACAAAATATGAAATGAGTAAATCAAACTAATTAACATATTCTGCACTTCACTACCTATCATTTTTTAGGAGGAGACATTTAATATTTTTCTACTTTGAAATGTACATTATTTACGTCACTTTAGTTACCTTGCTACTCAACATAGCTCACATTTATTCTTAACATCCATCTGACATTCTGTCTTCTTTATTACAGGTTACACTCACTTTGTTTGTGCGTGTGCACACCACGGCACATGTGGAGGCCAGAGGCCAACTTTTGGGAGGCAGTCATCTCTTTCTACTATGTGGGACCCAGGGATCCAACTCAGATCATCAGCTGACTTTACACTCCGTGCTATCTCATCAGCCCTGAAACTCTGTGGCCTGATCAACAACTCCTCATTCCTTCCCACTCTGTACTCTGGCTATCACTCTACTTCTATGATGTCATGCAGTATTTGTCACGCTGAGCTTGGCTTATTTCCCTTAGCATAATGTCTTCTTGGTTAATTCATGTCCCAAATGACAGGACTTCCTGCCTTTTTGAAGCCAAATAGCATCCCTATACCACAGTTTCCACTGGGCATATGGACTAGATTTTCTTCATCCCTTCATTCATTAATAGATAAAGGCTGATTCTATGGCTTAACTGTTGTGAGTAATTTGGGTATGGACATGGTGGTGCTCTGTGTTTCCTCTTTAATACAGGGTTGCTTAGTGTGACTACCTCACTGTCAGTGACATACAGGTGGCTAATATTTGGAAAGGAGGTTGAGATGATCTATGCGCATCCAGAATTAGAAGGACCTTAAAAGTTCGGCAGAAAACTCTGTTTTAGAGTAGGCTATGGAGAGCCACTCTGGTGTACAGACTCTGGAACTAAGGCCCAGGGATAAATTACCATCCCGTGTTTCTATCTAGAGAGAGAGAGGATGTGGGCAGGAATCTGAGCTGTTGTTGTATTATTCCTGCTTAGCTTCTCAGAGCTTCAACGCTCTTATTTGTAAAATGGAGTTATAATGATGCCCGTCTTATTTCTGTGTGCAAATGAGTGTGCAGTGTTGAGCATCTTCTCTCTCACATAGCAAGCGTTCTCAACAGTGCCCACTATTATTACCTAGGAGGCTAGGCTCTGGGTCAGAAGGCGGTGCGGTTAGGATGCCATTCTAGTACTTTCCCACAAATGTTTACTGAGACACTTGGAAGCCCACAGAAGGAAGCACAAACGTCTGGTAAGCTAAAATGATTCCAAGGGACATTGTCACACTAGTACACCCACGACAACACTCCCTTCTTTAAGTAACTCGTATCCTGACACCAGAGCAAGAGTTGAAGAGCTCAAAAGAAAATGTCTAAAATCTAGATGGAAACAAAAGTGACTCTGGCAGGCTTAGAAAGTGCTGCTGCGTTGTAGGGACAAAGAAGTTAGCAAATTCTGCCACATTTTACCAAAGATGGCAAGAGTTAAGACATCTCAACTATACGGAAGATCCAGTTAGAGGTCAAACTTTTTACAGTACCTTGTCCACGTAATGTGGCAATGGCCACATTTGAGTCTTGCCCATCCGACCGCTCTTCTGAGTTCCAGAAGGACAGATGCAAAACCACGTTTATCTTTGAACTGACCACATGATTGGACAAGTAGGCACTGCAGTACTTGTTAACCGAAATGAATTTGTGAAATGGATTATTCCAAATAAAAGGCTTGTGTTGGAGCTATGAGCTTCGGTATGGTCAGGCTTATTGTTTTCTATGAAAGCATTTCCCTAATATCTAAGCATTGAATGAACAAAACTTATACCAATGCTGTGGTAGAGTTTCCAATCAATCTGAAGCACAGTCTTATCCACGGATCTAGACACCCGGGACATGGAGATTTCAAAGCTTGGCAGCTGTTCAGTAGACTTGAATTATTATTCTTTGTGTAACTGGAAGTAGACTGCCTTGGGTCAATCTAGGACTAGGAATTTCAAGACCCAGGTTCCCTAGTCCCCTTTGCCACTCAATGCTCTAGTCACAATGTCTATATCATGGTGAAAGGATTATCCATACTGAGTTTTCTTTGGAGAAATAAAGTATACATAAACATGATAAACAGGTGTTACTTAATAGTTCATCTTTTTCTTAGATCTGAGTTCTTTATTTACTTTTGGGGTTTTTGAGACAGGGTTTTTCTATATAGCCCTGGCTGTCCTGGAACTTGCTATGTAGATCAGGCTGGCCTCGAACTCATGGAGATTCTCCTGCCTCTGCCTCCAGAGAGCTGGAATTGAAGGCATGTACCATCACACCCGGTCATAGATCTGAATTATTATTATACAGTTAGTATTTTATTTGGGGGTGAGGAAGAAACACGTTTTATGGGGGTTTTAGTTCTGGCACCGTTTTCTCTTCATCAAAAGGAGTAGGAACTATACTACTTCTTGACCTTTCCAGTAAGATCAAGTGCAGGATGAGCAACATTAGCTTAAGCTGCTGGACACTGGATGGCAAAGAAGAGAGAGGTCAGGGGAACAGAGACCTAGGAGACAGAATGGCCACAGCCTTGGAACCACAGACCATGGCGGCTAACAGCTCTTCTTCCCAAATTTCCATGTAAACTCAAATGATAGAATCCGGAGCAGTGGTCCTCAGCCTTCCTAATGCTGAGACCCTTTAATACAGTTCCTCATGTTATGGTGACCCCCAACCACAAAATTATTTTCATTGATACTTCGTAACTAAAATTTTGCTACTGTTATGAATCGTAATGTAAATGTCTGTGTTTTCCAATGGTTTTAGGCAACCCCTGTGAAAGGGTCGCTCGACCTCCAGAGGGGTCATGGCCCACAGGCTGAGAAATGCTGATCTAGAGCCTGCAGTCGTGCTTGAAAAGTCCTCCCGTGCAACAGGGCTGTGATTCACAAACAGAACACCAGCAACAACCAAACACCTACATGATAGTCATACAGGTTGAGTCTTTACTCTTAGAAACTATCATTGATAGTAGTATCAATAAAACATTCCAGGCCCACCAACAACTTAATAGCATGAAAGAAAATTGGGCTTATTTAGATATTGATTGTGCCATTAGTTAATGTTGCAGTGATACGTTCTGACACATTATGGTGACAGAGCATATCAGCAAACAGTCAAAGATTCCTTTTTTTCTTTTAAAAAGAGGAACAAGAATAACAATCATTTAAAAGAACCACACCTCTAGATTATTAAACAAGCATTCAAAGTAGCACCAGAAAGGAAAGAGAGTACCCTTACAGGGCGTAAATCCTTGTGATGGAAATATTTGTTCTCAGTGCGAAGGATTTACAGGTCAGATAATGTTCAAATCCAATATGCACGGAAATGCTTTAAGAGTACAGACACAGCAGCATTTGAAGTGTTTTTGTCTTAGTACATATTTCAGGGTTCCTTCACGCTACTGTAAATGGTGTGTGTGTGTGTGTGTGGTGTGTGTGTGTGTGTGTGTGTGTGTGTGTGTGTGTGTGTGTGCACAGACTTGGAAGGAAAGCATTACTTGTTTCCAACTACTTCTCTCTTAGGTGGAAACAGTGAAGAGGAACTCTGAGAGCCAGCCACGAGCTCTAAATCAAATAAAGTACACATTATTGTGAAAGCGATCAACACATGACATCCAATAACCAGAGACACCTGGATCTTCCCAGAGATCAATCACAAATGGAAGAACTGAAGCAAATTTTAGCAAGGTTTCTTGACATGGCGCCAAGATTTGAGGAGTTTCCCCAGATCTCTTTTGGGAATTAGAAAACATCAATTATGCTTTCGGATCCAATAATTCTCACCACCACCGGATCGCAAAATAGACAATGCATCTTTAATGAGGGAAGGCAGGGAGAAAGAAAAGGAAAGAGTTGGAGAAGGGGGAGGGAGGGAGAGAAAGAGACATAGACAGACAGACAGACAGACAGACAGACAGAGACAGAGGAAGGCGGTCTCTACAGAAGTTTAGAAAGCCTTCCCCATCGGAACGCAAGCTAGCAATTCGGTCTGGACGCGTCCCCACCCCCAGAGGTCACTTACTGGACTGGGCCAACTTTGCCTTCTCTCTTGCCGAGCACTTTGGCGGGCTTGGCGTCCTCCACCTCTTGCTGGAGCTCAGTCATCGGGGCCGCGTCCCGGGCGTAGCCCAGGACTTGGCTCCCTACTCGGGGCACCCCGCTCCCGGCCCTCTGGCGCCTTAGCCCTGCGCATCCAGGCGGCCGAGCTCCGGGGCCCGCCAACCTGGACACGTTGGAGCCGGCGCGATTGGTCCGAGCCGGGCCTGGAAGAGCCCAGAGGGAGGGAAGGGGAGGGTCGAAGCAAAGTGACAGCCCTTTTCCCCAACCCAGGAGGCAGAGGGAGAGCAAATGGAAACCTGTTGAACTCGTCTTTCTGGGAGAGGACGCTAATTGGCCAAGCAGGTGAAACATTTGCCTCACAAGACAATGCAGTAGCCGCCTGCTGCTCTGGGTCTTCTCCCCCGGGGCTAATCTGGGGCGGGGGTGGGGTCGGGTCGGGTGGGGGATGGGGGTGAGGGTGGACTGGGCAGGAAGTGGGCCGCCCTGCGTGGTGCTGGCTCACACCAGTGCCCGGCGGGCCAGCCCACTGCCTCGCCTAAATTATCCACCCAGGGTAATCTCACTGGGGACAGCCTCTCTGTGCTAACGATAGAGCCCCTCGGTTTGTCAGGAGGGAACAAAAATAAGAAGTAGTCACTTTTAAAAACCCCGTCTAGTTCTTCAGTGGGTAAGAGATGGGAGAGGCAGCGAAACAACCTTCGAAACTTCCCTAACCATCTTGGTGGGTATGGTTTGGCGGAAGGATATTCCATTACCATGTCTACATCTGCCATAAGCGGATGTGTTTTTTTGTATATACGGATGGACATTTGGGGGCGTCCTACCGTCCGCGGTTCTGAAGGATGCTGCCTATGAACCGGTGACCAAGTGTCTGTTCAAGTCCCTGAGCTTCCATTCTTTCGGATGCTTGTCTAAAAGTTGACATGCTGGGTCACATGGTTCCATGTGTTGAACGTTCCGTTTTGATGGGTAAGTATTCAGGTACACCCTTACAGTTGAATTAAAGAGCGCTAAAATACTCTTTAGCGTCTCAGATTAGGACTTCAGTGGTGTGGCTGTAAGTGAGGCAGAGCTAGGGGAGGTCATAGAAGTGGGGCTTGTGGGTAAGTTACCAGCAGTAAGGAACCTGCCTTGTTTTTACTTGCTAAGTTTTAATCACACCACCAAACGCTAATTGTTTATTCTTCCAGTTACTATTTTTTTTAAATTTTATTACAAAAATGGCAAATAGGTAAAAACGTCACACACAAAAATTAACCAGAACCAAAGTCTATACAGCTCAGTGAACTTCTCTGCCGTTAAAACTGGCATTCTGGCTGAGCAGCAGTGGGGCACCTCTCAACATTCGGGAGGCAGAAGCAGTCAGATCTCTGAGTTCGAAGCCAGCCTGGTCTACAGAGAGTTCCAGGACAGCTAGGGTGACACAGAGAAACCTTGTCTAGAACAAACAAATAAGCAAATTGGTATTCAAGACAGAAGCTCTGAAGCTCCACCTTCAATTTTACACTTTCAGTATCCAATATATTTTATACACTTATCCAAAACCAAAAGGACTGATAAACAGAATCAGAACTAGAAAGACACTTAGCTTTATATCTTCTTCTATAACTCACGTTCATCACCTGCATTGTCTTTCTTCATCTAATATTGAGACTTTCGTGGTCTCTTTTCATGTGTACTGTATCCACATGTACATTTGTTTACATATTCACATATATTATTGGCCACATTCCACATATGAGAGAGAACATGTGGGTGTTTTTCTTTCTAAGATTGTGTGACTTTGCTTAATATTATACATCCTAAGTCCATCCATGCTCCTACGATTTTTTTTTTTTTTTGGTTTTTTGAGACAGGGTTTCTCTGTGTAGCTTTGCGCCTTTCCTAGAACTCACTCTGTAGTCCAGGCTGGCCTCGAACTCACAGACACCCACCTGCCTCTGCCTCCAGAGTGCTGGGATTAAAGGTGTGCGCCACCACCGCCCAGCCCAGCTCCTACAATTTTTTTTAAACTCCATTTTCGATTAGAATTGAGTAGTATTTCAACACACACACACAAAATTTTCATGATCCATTCATCCATTAATGGACAATGAGATTGATTCCAATTCTTTGCTACAGTGGATGAAGCAGCAATAAACATGGGGGTGCCAATGTCTCTGTGCTAGGCTATGGAGCTGTCTAGACATATGCCCAGGAGTGAGATAGCTGGGTCCTTTTGGTAATTCTATTTCTATTTTGAGGGAGAGGAATCTTCAAACTGATTTCCACAATGGCTGTATTAATTTGTACCCCCACCAACAATTAATCAAGGTTCTCTTCCAACTACTATACAATCAAATCAAGCACAGTGTATACAATATAGCATCAGTCAGTCAATAAGGAGGTCTCATGTGTAGGACAGAGGCAGATGGTGTTGCTGAAGATTTGGAGGCACTTTGACCTTGTGCTGATGGGAAACTCATTACTTTTCTTCCTTCAGGCCTCTGGAAACCTAAATTCTTTTCTAACATCAAAGAAGAATTCCAACTCATAGTTATTCCAGTTATTGAAATAACTTTGGTAGAAAAATGTGAACTCATCTTTTTGGAGGTAGAAGCTTCAAATAGTTTAGAATATTGGTCCAATGTTGACCTTTACTTAGCATTGGTCCGATCCACTGAGCATCTGTCACAAGTTCAAGGGTAGAGTTCAAAGAATGAGTTTGGAAATTTGAGTAGAGGTGTGGTTGTGGTGTGTGACCAAATGGTTACCTAATTCACAGAACATGGCAGGGTGTATATCTATTAGTCAATATGACTAGGCATTAACTGGCTTCACAGGCCAGTATGGTTGGTTACTCACAGTCTGATGATACATTTTGGAAGGTGCCTATGATTTTTCAAGAAAACTGGAGGCTCTATAATAATTTACCCGTGCCCAGGATTCATGGTCAAAGTAACCCAGAAACACTTATCAGTCCATTTGTGTTTTCAATTACAGCCAGTTATCTGAAGGGGAAAATGGAAAGAATTTGAGAGAGGAAGAAGACAGTAGAGCAGTGTCACTGGAGAGCTTAATTCTAAGAGGTTTGTGCTGTTTGTTTTTGTTTTTTGTTTTGTTTTGTTGTTGTTGTTTTGAGGCAGGGTTTCTCTGTGTAGCTTTGGAGCCTGTCCTGGAACTCACTCTCTAGCCCAGGCTGGCCTCGAACTCACAGAAATCCACTTGCCTCTCCCTCCCCAAGTGCTGGGATTAAAGGCTTGTGCCACTACCGCCCGGCTAATTCTAAGACTTAAAGAAAAGTTTGTAAGAATCCAAATTGAGAAATATTACTGGAGGCTGATCACGTTTGAATGCTCAATATTAAATAAGAAAGTCTGGTGAACACAACCTTGACAGTGGAAGAGTGTATTGTAGGCCTCGGAAGCATCTTCCATGGAACCTTTAAAATAACAAGACATTTGAAATCAATGGAAAGATTTTTGAACCAGAATTTCCAACCCGGGTAACAGTGTATGTTAGGACATTTAATCACTCAAGATTTCTGCCTAGAGATGAAACAAAACCCGTGTTTCCCCACCTGTGTTGAGAGGAAAAGGACAGAGTGGCGGAAGGTCCTAGGGCCAAAGGGTAGTTCAAAACCACTAGCATATATCTGGTTCCATGAGAACAGAAGACACGATACAAAACCTCCTTCACTTCAGCATTCTTTACATTTTAAAGATTTAAATTAACCTCTTATTTACTTAATGTTTTTAATGCAGGGCCACGAGCCCTGCTTGCCTTGAACTCACCACATTTGGCTTGTGTGTGGTGCTGAGGATTGAGCTACAGAGCCTTGTGCATCTCAGGCAAACACTGTACCAACTGAAGTACATCTCAGCCCTTCATTCCAACACTCCTCAAAAAAACGAAACAAATGATGCCACACGCTGTGGTTTAAATAAGTGTTCCTTAAAAAGTATGGTGCCCAGCTTAGGGCAGGATCACAGAGATGGTAAATCCTTAGGGACGAGGTCTAAAGGGATGCAATTAGGTCACAGGGGCCTATTCTCAAGGATATTGGCTCTTCCTACTTTTTCTCTTTTGTTTCCCAGCTACCAGAAGGTGAGCAGTCCCCTATGGCATGCCCTCTCTCCACACTGCACTTCCTCTTAGCAACTTCCAAAACAATGGTACAACTGATCAGGGACCAAAATCTTCAATACTGTGAACCAAAATGAGCCTTTCTTTGTCTATGAGTTGATTTGTCTAACTTACAGTTATTTTGTTAGAGTAATGGGAAGCTAGCATGCCACATAAACAATAAATTAAAATCTACTCCATATTTTAAAACATCTGCCCATTTTCTAAATGGTAAATGTTATTGTGAAGTGGGAAGGCATCTGATGTCATCCAGATGAGTTCCGCACAGGCTTTGGGTAGAATCCAGCTCTTATACCTAATGAGAGGAGGACCTGGTACTTGAACTTAGGTCTTCTGACTCAATGTCAACTTCTTTTCTTGTTTTTTTTTAAATGCTTATATTTCTTTTCTTTTTTTTTTTTTTAGAATTTCATATAATGCGTTTTGATCAAATTCATCCTTATTCCATCCCCTCCAGCTCTTCTCCTGTTTCCCTCCACTGTTCCCTCACAACTTTATGTGTTTTGTTTGTTTGTTTTGTTTTTTAAAAACCCACTGAGTCCACTTAAAGTTGCTAGTGTGCATGGATATAGGGCCATCTACTAGACCATGGGCAGCCTCTCAAGGGCTGTATCCCTGAAGAAAACGGATCCTTCCCCAACAACCGTCAATTGTCAATAACTTCTTAACTACAGGTGGAACTTCCTGAGTCCTTCCCTGGTCCATTCTGGAGGTTTCCTCTGGTTTGATCTTGTACAACTCTTCTCCAAGCAGTCACAGCTGCTGTGAATTCATGTGTTCAAATGCCCTGTCGTGTCCAGCAAATACTGTTTTGCTGTAGATGTCGACTACTTCTGACAATTTTTCTCTCACCTCTTCCACTATGATCCCTGACCTGAGTCCTGGGAAAAAGGGATGGAATATAGGCATCCCAGCCATAACTGAGCACTTTTAGTCTTGTATTCGCTGTATGTTGACCAGCTATGAGCCTCTGTATTAGTTGCTATCTACTGCAAAAAGAAGCTTCTCTGGCGAACACTGAGAGATGTACTTATCTATGCTTGTAAAGATAAGAACTTAGGGGGCAGTTTATTATTATGTCCATCTAGAACAATAATAGTGTTATGTTTCCCCCCAAGGGCCTATGACCTAGACAGTCATAGGTTTTTGGCTCAGTTAACGGTACCAGGCACGCATTCCATCTTGTTCAATGCCAACTTCTTAACACTATTTAGATAGTCACTCCTGCTTCAGTTGGAATTCTTGTGCTTGAATCTGATTCACATATTTGTATTTTGTCTTAATGTTACTGGGGGAAATGGGAAACTTGCCTACCACACACTAAACAAAATTTAAAAATCAAACCTCTATCACTTTTAAAAGATGAATCTGATCTTCAGGGAGTTCAACAACAACAGCAACAACAAAACTCACAGTGTTCCCTAGAAGATAAACACCCTGTTTTCTTGCCCTCCAGTGGGGGTGCTTGTAGGATTATAGAAGCCTGAATAATACAAAACACATTTTGTTGATGGCAAAAAACATGTGCTATGTTGGAGAGTGTGTTGAAGGAAAGTCCCATTAGGTGCCACAGGTGTGAATACAATATCTGTGGAGAAACAACTTGTCAAAATGCAGAAAACAACTGACCATGAGGACCCAACCCAAACTGGTATACCTACAGTGCACCCCCTACATCTATGATGGCTCAGGTAATGTGTGGAAGAAGAAGCAGAAAGGTTGTAGGTACCAGAGGACCAGGATATCTCCCGTGGGACAGTGACTTCTATGCATGATAGATAGGAAAGCTGCCTCATGAAATCTCAACAATATAATTGCCTAAACAAGGCTTGGGTAATGACAACCCCAGATGACGTGTGTCTTAGTCAGTGTTTCTATTGCTGTGAAGAGACACCATGACCACAGCAATTCTTTGTTTTGTTTTTGTTTTTTTTGAGACAGGGTTTCTTGGTGTGACCCTGACTTATCCTAGAACTCAGTTTGTAGATCAGGCTGGCCTCAAACTCACAGAGATTTGTCTGCCTCTGCCTCCCGAAGACAGGGATTAAAGGCATGGGCCACCATGTCCAGCTTACCACAACAACTCTTATAAAGGAAAACATTTAAATGGGGTGGCTTATAGGTTCAGAAGTTTGGTCCATTATCAGCATGGTGGGAAGCATGGCGGCATGCAGGCAGACATGGTGCTGGAGAAGGAGCAGATAGGTCTACATCTGGATTGACAGGCAGCAGGAGGAGGCAGAGAGAGATTCACTAGGCCTGACCTGAGCATCTGAAACCTGAAAGCCCACCCCCAGTGACACACTTCCTCCAACAAGGCCACACTTCCTAATAGTGCCACTCCCTGGTGACCAAACATTCAAATTTATGAACCTTTGGAAGCTCTTCTTATTCAAACCACCGCAACATGTCAATGTGGACAGAAAGAATTTCCCATCCATTAATGAAGAGTTGCTGACACTCCGTGGCTGCTGACAGAGGGAGAATCAGTTTTCTCCAGGGACAATCCCCTTTATAGGTTGTCCAATCCCAAGTGACCAGCCCTAAACACATGTCTAGATGAGCACCATGAAATGACCTCAGTAAGTTGTGTGTACGTGCGTGCGTGTGTGCATATGTGATTGTGTACATATGTATGTATATATTACCTATATGCATATGCATGTGTAACAATAAACATTAAAAAAGAGGTTATGGCCGGGCGGTGGTGGCGCACGCCTTTAATCCCAGCACTTCGGAGGCAGAGGCAGGTGGATCTTTGTGAGTTCGAGGCCAGCCTGGTCTACAGAGCGAGATCCAGGAAAAGGCGCAAAGCTACATAGAGAAACCCTGTCTCAAAAAACCAAAAAAAAAAAAAAAGAGGTTATGAATTTGAAAGGGAGTGGGTAGACACAGGAGGAACTGGAGGGGCAGAAAGAAGAGGGGAAATGAGTCAAGTATAATATTCATGTATGAAATTCTCAAAAGATAAAAATTTAAATCTAAAAATAGCTCGTATTCAAAGAAATGTTTGAATTTAGAGCTATTTTTGGCGGCTGTATTTTGAAGTTTCCAGTTGTTTGATAACTGTCTATCTGAAACTGTAGGGGTTTCAGCAATAATTTATTATTATTATTATCTCTCATAGTTCTGTGAGCTGGATGCTTGTCCCTCATTGGGAAAACAGTAACATGGAGCCCAGGGATGGAATCATTCAAAAACTCAACTGAACTGAATATGCAAAGTGCATTTGCATTGGAAGATCTGGCTCTTCTGGTGGACTAGTTAGTAGGCTGAAAGCCAGAGGGATATCCCAGTCTCCCTGTATGATATTTACTGAGTAGACTAGCTGTGGAATCCTTATCTAGAACATTGAGATCTGGATATGCTTGTCTCTGTGTGTGTGTGTGTGTGTGTGTGTGTTTTAACTTGGTCCATTATCGTCATGGTGGGAAGCATGGCGGCATGCAGGCAGACATGGCGCTAGAGAAGGAGCCGATTGGAGCCTTACGTCTTGCAAACCAAGGTTGAATCTTCGGGTTCTTTATGAGACAGCCCTGGAAGCAGCCATGCCACTTCACCTGTGTTGGGTTCTATTCATCAAACGTGAGCCGCAGACCAGCCTAGATTCCAGATGTGAATACCAGGAACCAGGTTGCTAGGGCAATGTTGTAGATATATGAGACACAACAGGGAACAGAAGGGTAAACACCCACCTCGTTATGAGTCCTACATTCTAGCTGTAGAAACCAAAATGGGAAAAGTACAACCAGCCCTCTGTAGTCACATCTTCTGTCTCCTCAGACGTGACTAATTGCAGGTCGAAATGAAGATGGGCCTACAGTGGATGTGTCTACACTAAACACGCATTTCCGTATTTGTATGACAACTACCTACACAGCATTTCCCCGATATTAGGGATTGTAAATGACTAGAGATTTAGGTGTTTTTGTTGTTGTTGTTG